CACCCCCCATTTGCACCCCCAGACCCCCCCGATGGCTGCCCCACCTGGCTCCAGCCTCCCAGCACTTTAAAAAAAAAAAAAAGCCCAGCACTCACCAGCTGTAGGAGCTGCCATGGGGGTCGCTGGCAGAGCCTCCCTGCACAACACAGAGGAGCAGGCAGGGGATGGGGTCGGGCAGCAATCCAGTGGGCTTGGGGAGCTGGCAGAGGTTGGGGCTGGTGGGGGTTCCCCCATGGTCCCCTCCTCTAAACCCCCATACCCCCTCCTTACTGGCATGGAGCCCGGGTCCGGCTCCCTGCAGAGGCAGGTAGCGTGCTTCAGCACTGGCTACCAGAGCGTCTGTGTGGAAGACTGAGCCTCCAGTTTCCTCAGGGCATGGTCTCAGACTGTGCCCTGCCCCAGTTTTTCCCCTGCACTTTTTTGACCCCTGGATATCCCGGGATCTAATTTTGCCCCCGTGCTGCAAATCTGCAGTGTAGGGAATGTTTTTTCATTCCCACACATGCCTCCTGCAGCATCTCAAAGGGCTCTGAGACGCTGCAAGATGGACGTGCACACATGTGGACGCACCCAAGTGGATTTAGTGCATGAAGCACATCTGTCCATATATGACATCTATGAAGAAGGACAGCAGTGGTACAAACTAAGTACATCTTAAACTATATCCTAATGGATGAAATGGTGAATCAAAGTAAAAAGTAAAATAAAAACAATATTTTGTCTTTAAAAATATGGTGCAATCTTTCATCTGTCACATAGCCAAGATATGCAAGGCTGAGCTCTTAATGGAGGCAAATGGCATGCAGGGGAAGGGAATTGAAAAAAAGAATCTACTCTGGGTTACTTAAACTGGGTTGCTTAAATTTGTCATTGTGTTCTACATGTTTCAAAATTGTACCCATAATAGCTTGCAGTTCTTTACAAAGGTCAATGTAAAATCATTTTCTCTGTTACTTCTTGCTTCAGAAACCAGTTCCTTGCCTGCCTGCTGTCCTCCTGAACTTTGTTAATGAAGGCAAAGTTCTGTTGAGTTATCACTCTGACCCTTCAACTTTATTATCTGGAAAACCATAAACTTTATCCATGAAAAGATATAAAAAGGAGAGACTTACAAAACATTCTTTCTGCAGATCTTCCTTCCAGGCTCACCATTTGATCTGTCCTTCGATTTAAACTCTTAGCCACAATGCCTGCTGATTACAATGGAACGTGGGAAATGGAATCCAATGAAAACTTTGAAGCCTACATGGTTACTTTAGGTAAATAAAAAATAATATATATACTGATATATTGTACATACTTAGGGACAAAAGTTTTTATTTGTAAATTATGCTTTAAAAAAAAACCTAATAGCAGACAACTCTTACTTCTGTAGTATGTTTTGAACATAATATTTTCTGGCAACCACACCAAAAATCATATGCTTGCTATAATGTATCTAGATGAACATGGGCAGTTCTCTCAGCAAATAACAAAATATTTCAGAGCACTGGAGCAAAAAAAAATAGCCATTAGCTCTTAATAATACTGCAGTTGAATTAGCAGATATAGTTGAAAATTTGCATGGTAAAGACTATAAGAATTCGTCATAAGGCAAAAGTTTCTAACAGTTTTTATGGGACTGTAGCTCCACAGCAATAAAATTTAGGGTTTTAACTAGAATCCTTTTCCTAGATGCTAGAATACCATCATCATAGCGTTAATTTAGTGCAAAGAGCAAGTTAAGGAAGCTTGACTTATGAGGTAAGATCAAGCTTTTGATTGTGCCAATTCCAATCCTATTTTCCTTCATATTACCATATTCAATTACTATAAATGACAGAGAGAGAGTTTTATAATGGATAAATGTATCTTTTTGCTTTGACTATCATTTTACATTTCAACTTTTCAATACAAATATCTTTTCAAATGCTTTTGTTCATATGCAAATAAATATATCTTACCCTTATCTTATAGGTATGTAAATTTGGTCCTTAGGTGAAATCCTGGCTCCACTGAGGTCAATGGTAAATCACCTGTTCATTTTAATAGATGCATCAGGCCTTTATTTTGATGAATAGGCACTGAATCACAGAAGCAATTAACATTTTTAAAAATTATTTTGGTATTCTCTGAAGAAATTGATTGTCTCATTTCCATTGTTCCTGTAATAGGGCTGCATTCCCCAAAGTGCAAAAAATGTAGAAAGTAATTTTGTACAGGAATGAGAAATGGAATGAAAAGGGTCAGAGACCCTTCCCATACCCCCAACTACAGGTATTCAACCTGACTGCTTAACCAGGTGCAGAATAAGTTGTTCTCCCTGCTTGTGAAGTCTACATACTTTACAAACTTTAGATCAGATAGTCAGATCAATGATAAAAAAATAATGGCAGTTGGCTAATTAAAGCTAGGTTGTCAGGGAAGGGTATTTTATTAGTCTGAACTGCAAATTAAAAAGCAGCAAACATTGTCAGTTTTTAGTTTTTCTCCTAATAACAATTTACAACCTTTTGGGGCCCAATCCTGCATATACCCAAGTAGCCTTTATTCATATAAGTATTTACATTGACTTGTAAATAGAGATCTGTTGTCATTTTCTCCTATAGTTTGCCTTTCACACTAACTTTTCATGGTAGCTGACATCACTGTAACGCTGACACTGGCAAACGAGTCTTGTTAGAACAAAGTCGCTTGCACTTTTCCTCAGAACCAGAGATCAGATTTATCAGACTTATGCATTTTATGCATTAATAACCTGATGGTGTATACTAAGGCAAGCTGTTGGAAAGCTAAAGGACTGGATGGTTCAGATACTGAAATAGGTACTTGTAAACATGTGATGCAATAAAAAGAGCTCAATGTACTGGAATCAGTAAGAGCACCTAATTTATCCACCTTTAGGTAGATAATAACATGTTAGGAAAAATATATTCGTCACACATGGAAGCAAGCTAGGCGATTACACAACAATTTTCACAACATTCTGAATACATTTTTTAGTGATTAATTTATGATGGATGGCTGTCAGAAGTCCTAAGTTGAAGCTAACAAAGTTTAGTGCTTTGGCCAGCTTGCTAATAGAGTTTTATCCACATCACTGAACCCTAATGCTTACTTTTCAGCCTATTCAAAAAGACAAAGACAGGAATACATAAAAGCAAAATTGTCACCTTGCACAATTTTACCATGAGTCTATGATATTTCAGATATTTTTCTGAAAACCCAAGCTTCTGAAGGTGAGAATCTTAGCTTCTGCTTTTTTAGAAAAGTATGTTTTTAGCCTTTGTATTTTTCAGAGGGAACACTGAAAAGGCTTAGGTTCCTCTAAGACACCATAAAAGCTCAGAAGTGTTTCAAAATAATGATTTTAACATAAAACTCATGCATTTGGGGGTGAGGGGAGGGAATAACAGATGATTTTTGCTGGCTGTGTTGTTGGCAAGGCAGCATACAGAAAACTGACTTTTTGATTGCTCTGGGTGACTTTGCAAAGTTCTCTTAACAGCTGGTATATCCATCTTATTTCTAGTGTGGCCTCTGCGTTCACCTTAGGTATGTTGTAACTCTTTTCTAAGAGGATCAGTAGGTTTTATAACATCTTTTAATTTGATGGGGGCATCGCACAACGTTGTTTTCTCCTTCAATCCTTGGGTATCACCAAGTACATTGTTGTATTGGTGCATTTAACTCAGCCATACCTGCTCATACATATTCATTTTTAAATCTTATCAAGCAACCCAGCAGTTGTTAGTAATATTCATGTCTTCAGATCAGTGTTTCCACCTAGAATTTAAGCTGCAAGTTTTACTTCAATTCATGAGGAGAGGTAGGTAGCCCTGTTAGTCTGACATACAGATGGTATGGCAGGGTGGCACCTTAAAGACAGACTCATTAACATCTAACGAGTTCATTTTTAAGACTTGTTCTCAACCAAGTTGCCTTGGCACCCTAGAGTTCCTTGAGATCTTTTTAAGGGGGCCTCAGGGTGCTGCTCAAAACGAGGTATGCAAACACCTACACGTGATTCACAAAATCAACCAAGAGATTTCAAATAGAATCTACAGTGTCAAGAAGAGTATGATGTGTTGTGGCTTTTCTGAGGGGTTTTTTTTTGCAGCAGTAGCATAATTGCTGTGTCATTTTTCCATAGTCAAGAAATGACTGGAAAGCTAAGAGCTCATATTTTCCAAGGTGTGCCCTGAGTTTAAAAAGGTTGAGAATTAGTGTTTTAAGGTTTCACTCGGCCCTGCCTTCTATTTAAATTCAGTGAGAGGCAGGGTATGTATTAATTAGAATCATAGAAAATTAAGATTGGAAGGGACCTCAGGAGTTCATCTAGTCCAACCCCCTGCTCAAAACAGGACCGTCCCCAACTAGACCATTCCAGCCAGGACTTTATCAAGCTAGGCCTTAAAAACCTCCAAGGATGGAGATTCCACCACCTCTCTAGGTAACTTGTTCCAGTGTTTCACCACCCTCCTGGTGAGAGAGTTTTTCTTAATATCCAGCCTAAACCTCCCTTGCTTCCATATTTACACACTCTAATTCTAATCCTTCTGTAACAAGTATGTTTTCTGCTTCTCTGCTTCCTTTTGTATTGTAACTTGTAGCATACATTGGGCTGTATAAGGCATGACCATCTAATCTCTGCTGCATCCTTAACACCATTTAAGCCAGTAATTAGAACAGGACACCTAACCAAATCCACTTCATTGTACTGTTTATAATGACCTTACTATAGGCTAAGTCAAGCAAACTTAATTTGTGTCTAATCTTATTAGTTTTCTCTGTGGTATTAGACATATTAAAGAATAAGATAACTGATCCAGTTTAGCCTCTTGATTCCCCTTGTGGAAGCCAGCCTGCAGGCACCTAGCAGTGAGAGATCGACTTGAATGGGAACTCTAGCAGTTCAAGCGAATAACAAATCCTGATCTGCTAGATGACCCAGACTTCGTTAATGCAGGACACAAAAAATGAACATGACAAGCCAAGAAGTAGAGACATCGACCTTTTCCTGGGTGATAATATGATCCATTGAATTACCTGTGCAAATTCCACAGGGGAGATGCCTGTTGAATTTCCGTGGATTGCAAAGCTATCTCCACCAGAACATCTCTGGTGAGGGGCTGGAGTAGAAAAGTTATATTTATGGTAGTTGGTTTTGGAGCAGACTTTTCACTAAGCCACCATGTTTTATGTATAGCAATTCAGGCATATTCAAAGTATTCATTAAATTTGCAATAAAGTAATATACAGAGGCCTATTTTTGTGCATGGTACTGAGAATTGTTCCTCACTAACTGTTATCAGTGAAAGGAAATGACATGGAAATGGTGGAGAGATATTCTTCCACTCTGCTTCTCCCAATTTACATTTGGTTGACATTCTACGTATTAAGGAGTTAAGGTTCAAAGCACATTGAAACTATACTTTCTGAAGTTCATCCATCCTTATAATTAATACATATGCATTCCTATACTTTAATTAACGAATAGGTTTGCCCTTTAAGCCAGAAACTGTAACTTTTTCATAAGCACGTTACAGAGTATTTTAATCTAATCTAATAGAACAATATTTCATCTTTATTGCTTGTATTGTTCAAATTGCAGTTATGAAAAGTATGCATTAATAAAACCTCCTCTGATTTTTTGCAGTAGCTACAAGACTAATATATTAGTCAGAAATAGCTTTTCTTTGGAAGTCTAGACTTTTTTCCCTCTGGGAGATCTAAATTTTGTGTTTCCCGGCTATAAATCAGACCCAGAGCAGCAGATAATCCACAGCAGCAGATACAATATATCTAAGAACCCTAGAGTATAAATACTTGAATAAGAACATTATTTCCTATTTTAAAGTCACGTTTTGTTCTAACCAATCCTTTCACACAATTCAATTAGTGCTTCAGCAGTAACATAATGAATCCACCAAAGAAAATGGATTCCATTTGTACAAGGCCTTGCCAAGTTGACAATGATTAACTTGTATATAAAAAAGCTAAAGAATGGTTAACAAGCCAAACCATTTTTCAATCTCTTGGAGAAACATGTTAAATTATTTCATTTACATATAGCACCATTATAAGATTCATTGCTAGCTGGTCAAAATATTTATTGTAGCTGGTAATGCAGCTGGCATCAGGTGTATCATATAGGTTAGACTATATCATGATGCTAATATATATTCTTCTTTTGCGATATCTTTCAATGCACCCAGTAGCACTCAGTTTTTTGCATTATAATTTTAGTCTTCATCGTGAACAAAACAAGGACTATTTAAGGAAGTTAGTAACAAATACATGTTAACAGAATATATTAAGGGAGAAATGCAGTCAAATGCAGTATTTTTGGCTATTTTAACTTTCCATCTTTTACCCAAGTTATCAACATTGTTTTTGTAAACAATTTGTTAGTGTAATCTCTGCTTCAAATTTCTTGGAAAATGTGAAGTAAAAGGCACTTTCAGATAGTATCGCATCACATAAGTACTGTGTAGTCCTAGCTGCAATACAGTCCCAGACACCAGAGATGCAGTATAATCCTAACCTATAATCTATAATTTAAAAGCTACATACCAAAATTAACTGGATCAAACAGAATCACAGAAGATAGGAATGGAATGGGTCTTGAAAGTCATCTGACTCTAATCCATTCCCTGCCCTAGAAAAGATCAAAATACTAATTTTGATATGTTTGTTTACTGAACAAGAATCTATTAAGCATTCATACTAAGATCCTGTTATAGAAAAGAGCAAAGCCAATCAAAAGACAGAATGTTTTGGAAAAAATATGGCAAAATGTATTATTTTCTTGAAATTTTTCACCAAAAATTGGAAATTATCTTTTCTCCCAAAAAAGTTCTCTTTTTCTCTTTATTGCTCTTTTTTTTCCTTCCATTTAATTACAGAAAAGGCGGAGTACAGACAGGAAAATGGAGATGGAAAATCCCCAAAATTGAACATGATTTTTAATATAAAAAAATTCAGAACATTTTGAAAAACAAATCATTTCCTCAAAATTTCATTTTCAAAACACCTTAGAAGTTGCAAATGAAAAAAAAAAATGTTGACCCATTCTAGAATACAGCTACTGCATTTTTACCTGTAAATGAGAAGGCTAATTGTAGTTATGTTTTTTATTGTGTACGTATATAAAAACTGATTTTTCTATCTCTGTAACAGAAATTGGAATTTGAATTGGTTTATCATAGACTCCTATTTTCTGCTTTTTACTAGATATTGATTTTGCCACTCGTAAAATTGCAAAACATCTGAAACAAACAAAGGAATTTATTCAAGATGGAAATAATTTCAAGACAAAAACACTGAGCACTTTCAGGAACTATGAACTAAATTTCACTGTTGGAGTGGAGTTTGAAGAACACACCAAAGGGCTTGACAACAGAGTGGTAAAGGTATAAACCTTAGTGTTTAATTTCCATTTACAGAGTAGTTCATACCAGGGCAAGAGGTCTGAGGAAAAAAAATGATGAAAAGCAATGTTAGATAAATGCTTATTTATAAAGTGCAAGTCATTTGCGTTTCAAGACAAATTTTCTTCCACGTTTTATGTATTTATTTTATATGCAAATAAAGGTTTCTCAGATTTGTGACAGAAATAGTTACCTACATTCATCCTCACAAGAAACCTTTCCAGTCTTTCTCTAATAAACTTCTTTGTAGTTTTATGTATTTAAAAGTAAAGAAAGGAATATATTTTTTCATATGTAATTTAGCTAAGTTACATATTAAATCTAAATTTTACAACTACTAAACTCCCTACCTTCATTATTTTAAAATTACCAAGTCTTAATGAGGCTGCTCCTGTGAGACCTTTACATGTGGCTCTCCAGTAAAAGGGAGTGCGAGGTCTAGAAGAAAGTGTGAAAGATGAAGGCCTGAAGCATATGGCAGATTCACTTAACTCCTTAAAAGCCCCCTTTCTTTTTTTCTCATGTACTGTTCTCCCCTGAAAGTTACATTGTGGGGGAGAGGGTGAAGATCATGTGCCCAGTTCCCATTGAAACTCCTCTTTGCATCTTTGAAACTTTCCCCTAACAAGAACAGTCAGCTGTTTCAGCAAGTTCTCTCTTTGCCGTTCATTCACCAGTTCTGATAACCACAGTTCTGTCCTCTTCCTCGGTTCCTAACCATCTTGTCCCTCTCAACTGCACCATTTACATACCTGAAGAAACAAACTCAGCTTCTGCTGCTAGCCTCAGATGTCAATGAAGGTTGACGCTCACTGTGAACAAGACCTATTTGGCTTTGTTCATTGTCAAGAAGTTGGCAGTACAAAAAGGTAAAACTGCTCTTCTGAGGCTCCTCTAATCCCTCTGTAGAGTAGCATAGGTTTAATGGAGGACACTGTTTGAGCAACAGGGCCAGTTTCTCTTCTCACTACTACTAGTTTTACGTGTACAAGTAGATTCCTTTCACTTTGATGGAAGTCAGAGAAGTATTAAGCTTGTGTTGGACTTTTCTGGTGCTTTGAATTTGCTTTAATACTTTCTGTACCCCTCTCTTCAATGAGCATTGTGAGGTTTTTAAACCAATGTATTCAAGTCTCCCTAGATCCATCTCTAACTACAAACCTTTTCATCACACTCCTTCCCCAGTGTCACCAATCCCTTCCTTTCTCACCACCCTTCTCTAGCTGCAATAAAAGACAGCTTGTCCCATTATAATCCTGCCTTATCTTTGATATTACCTGTAATCATTTCAACAAGTATTTTTTTCTGAATAAATTGGGGGAAAGGGGTTTTCTATGTAAAGAGCAGTAAACTATTAGTCTTGGAAACCCCTCTGTAAAAGATTTCCTTATTGTCATGTTAACAAAAACAATGACTCACAAAAATGAATGGGAAGATACTAAGTAACATTCATATAGTTTCATAGTTTCTAGGGTCAGAAGGGACCTGAGCAGATCATCTAGTCCGACCCCCTGCCATGGCAGGAAGAGCACTGGGGTCAAATGACCCCAGTAAGGTGGTCGTCCAACCTCCTCTTAAAAACCCCCAGGGTGGGAGCCTGCACCACCTCATATGGAAGCTGGTTCCAGACCCTAGCCGCCCTGACCGTGAAGTAGCGCCTCCTGATGTCCAACTTAAACCTTCCCTCCGCCAGCTTGTGACCATTGTTCCTGGTCACTCCTTGCAGCGCTTGGGGGAACAGGGACTCCCCCAGCGCCTGCTGATCCCCCCTAACCAGTTTATAACAGGCCACAAGATCCCCCCTCAGCCTTCTCTTTTGAAGGCTGAACAGGTTCAGGTCCCGCAACCTTTCCTCATAGGACCTACCCTGCTGTCCCTTGATCATA